TATATATATATCGATCAATTTTATCCCTTTACCTTTATTTTCTATCTGTATCTTGAAAAAAAAAAGAAAAACTTTAGGTACTGTTTATCGACAAACGAAATTCTTAGGTTAGAATTCGAGTGGTCCTACCATCGAGAGAGAAACTACGAGGAAATTGTATACATCTTTCAGTAACTTCAAGTGAATTGTTTGAATTCATATACAAATATACATATACTTACAATAAACCCAAAATATATATGTATATATATATATATATACAGAGGGTGTAAAAAGTTTTCGTACATCGATCAATTTGAAATAAAATGTTGTTAAATTGTAGTTTATTAACTAATTTTTTATAAATAATAAATTTGTACATATTCTTGAAAGTTTCTGTATAAAAAATAATTTTGTTGAATAAATTAAAAAATTGACACATTGATTTACGTAGTGAGAGAAAAGGAGTGGGAGTAGGAGTAGGAGTATGGAGGGAGGAACAGGTTTAGAATGAAAAATATGTACATATGCACATTGTTGATAAAAGAAACACGAAGGTGACACTATGATGGAGGTCCCTGCCCTTTAAAATCGATCCGAAGGATATTTATTAGCTTACTTGAGTGATCTAGCGTTCGGACCTTCAAATTAACCGGGAATTTCAAAGATAAACCATCTTCGGCTATGTAACCTATTTCAAGTAGATATACTTCGAAGGTTGTATATATTCTAAAGATGGTCGTGGTAAAAAAAAAAAAAAAAAGAAAAAAAAATATGTGGCTTTTTTTCCTTCAAAATGCTTGCGCTTGAGAGAAAAGAAAAAAGAAAAGAAAAGAAAAGAAAAGGGAAGAAAAAAAAATTGTTCACTCACAAAGGAACGTCAAGTGATCGATCGACTCTCTTTCTGTTTGTAGGGGTGTATTAAGAAAATAAAACAAATTAAGATAAAGAAAGGAAAATGATAGAACAAAGACTGAATAAGATGATAAAAGAAAATTAAATATAATAATAATAGTAATAATAATAATAATAATAATAATAATAATAATAATACTTGAAATAATTCTTTTTAATTTTGTTTTTTTATTTTAAGTTTCGACAATTAGATTATAATTTTATGATATATTATGTTATAATAAAATAAAATAAACAAAATACTATATTATAATATATATTATAATAAATAAAATACTATATTCTAATAAATATTATAATAAATAAAATAAACAAAATATTATTTTATAATATATTATAATAAATAAAATAAACAAAATAATATATTATAAATATTATATTATAATAAATAAAATGTGTGTTTTTATTCGTAAATAGTTAAGACATTTCTCAATAGTTATAATTTAATATCAGATTTAGGCCACGCAATATATACACATACCTACACATGCACACACATGCTCATACATGTGAGGATTACTATCAATTTGCCGTTCAGGATAGCTTATTGTAAGGCTTGATTGGATTAACTTTGTGCATGATATAATATAATAGCTGCCAAGTTAATCTTATATTCTTCTAATCGTCATTATGATGTCATATGGTAAACGTCAGGACATGTCAAGAAATTTATGTGATCATAATCATCATCACCATCATTATCATCATCATCATTATCATCATCATTATCATCATTAATGATCCTTTATCATTGGCATGCTTGATTTTTTTATTTTTTTTATTTTTTTTTTTTTATTATTGAGAAAAGGTCAGGAGGACAGAGGGTCAGCTTGGATATTAACGGGGCTTGTTTTTTATTTTTTATTTATTTATTTATWTATCGATTAACTTTACTCCTTATAATATGATCGAGTCAATCGGATATGCGTTGATCGTAAAGTGCATGTCGTTAGGTGTGTCCTGTCATACGAAAAGAAAGAGAATGAAATAGAAAGAATTAGAGAATGAGAGAGAGAGAGAGAGAGAGAGAGAGAGAGAGAGAGAGAAAGAGAGAGATTATCTTTGAAATTCAGTACTCACATCTACCTCAGAATTAACGAGACAATAAAATTGTTAAGTGCCTCACGGTTTAAGACCAACTAGAATGATGCTTTATTACTGCAGCACCATTTAATTCTCAACCAATACCTGATAAAAGCCTAGTCATAATATTCGTAAAGCAACCATTTTGGTTTAACACCAATAAGAAAATAAGATATTATCTGTATAGGATTGTTAATACGTTTCTGTGAATACTATGTATATATACAGTTGTTCTAATAATTGCAATAATTATACGTTCTCGATTTGTTTCTATTTTAATTGTATCAATAAGAATCGGAAAATTCATTTGGAGAAAATCATTTTGCAAGGTATTCGAATAGAAAGAAATTTCGTCAAATTGATTGTTGTTCTAGTTTTAAATTAAAAAATAAATTGTTTAATTAATTTAATTGCATTTTGTTTAATTTAATTTGTTTATTATATTTTTTTACTTATTTTTTTATTTTTATTTTTATTATTATTTTTATTATTATTTTTATTTTTTTTTTATTTTTTTTTTATTTTATTATTTTTATTATTGTATTATTATATTTATATTATTTTTATTTTTTATTTATTTATTTATTTATTTTTATATTATAACATAGTACAAAAATAATTACATTTTCTTATTATCGTGGTAAGGTTAGAATTAAATTAATTAAATCATAGATAAATATTAACAATTTATCTTTAATTATATAATTTATTTAATATATTTTAATAATTAATATATAATTTATTTAATCTTTATCCGAATGTTTATTAATTTCAAACAAACAAAAAATAATGTAAACACCCATTTATTTCTGAATGGGTTATTTTGATTAATTTTAATAATTGTAATTTAAATGATGATCTTATGTCAATAAAAATGATGGTAAACGATGGTTATAAAAGGTACCAGCATAATCCATTTTTCTTATTGACAATGGAAAAAGGTCTTATTATGAAAAGGAAATTTGAAATTCTAAAAATGTATAATCTTTTCAATCATCATCTACAAAAAGCATCAAAGAATTGAACCTATCAAGAAAAAAAAATTCCAAATCACATGATTCTTCGTTTTATTCGATAAATTTTCTTTAGATTTGTGCGGAATAAAATTTGACGTAACATTATGATCTTCTTAGAAAAAGAGGGTGAATATTCCCCAAGACATTGAATAAACATAACCTATGAGAAACGATACAAAAGAATCCGATTTTTTTTTCTTTCTTTTCTTTATTTTCCTTTTTCTTCAAAGCTTAGATTTATTGTATTCAATAATAAAAGATAATAATCTTCCTTTCATTCGCAGCAATAGGAAAACGTAAAAAAAAGAATGAATTTTATATTTTTGGTACTTTGATTTTTAATTATTGCTCAAAATAATCTATAAAATAAATGAACACACCCACGTGATAATCCTTGTCATTTTTTTTTATTATTAAAAAAACCTTCAAGGGACGAGGGTTACCTCAGATTACATCAAAATCAAATTTTATGATTATTATACTTGTTCATTCGAACCCTCAGCACCCTACCCATAACCTCATAAGAAGGATCGTAGCTTTTTTTTTTAACTTTGATAAGAAAGACAAATTTTAAAAATTCATTCTTTTTTGGGGGAGTTAAAACGAGTCCTTAAAAAAATGATAGGGGTTAAATGAAAAGAAAAGGTGTTTATATTTGATTTCAATTTGTACTTGTATCATGAAAATATATAAGAATATTTTAGCGGGATAATTCGAAAGGATTTGAAAACAAAAATCGATTGGATCGATAAATACGTTCACAATTCTTTTACATTAACTTTAATTTTTCTCATCCCCCTTTTAAAATGGTAAATTAATTGAAATTCTTTTGATAAATTAAAAAGAACTTATGTTTATTCAACCTAAACGCGAATGACGATTAAAAAAATGTTGTACAAAAGAAAATGTCGAATGGGTTAACCTCAAAATCCAAATCATTCAATTTACTTGCTGACGATGATCATTAACGATGAAAGAATAAAATTGAATAAAAAAAGACCTTTTTTACTTGACTTACTATCATTGAAAGAGAAAAAACAAATAGAAAATGTGATCGGCATTGAACAACAGCAACAACAACAACAACAACAAAAAATAAGATAATCAATGATTGATCATGGTCGTCGTAGTCGGTGAATCAACGATGTAACTTAAAAAAGGGAGATTAATTACTGCATTACGAGTTCATATATCTAATGTAGGCGATGTTATCGGGTCGATTCAATCGAATCTAATCGTAGTACGAGAACAATCATATATTAATAATTATTACTTGACCGAAGTATGACGTTGAAGTTATTATTTTGTTCTTTTCTCTTTAGTCTATCTTTCTTCGAAGACAATATCATCAGTAAGATAATAATTTAATAACGAGAACTAAACAAAGATACATTTCTTTATAATATAAATGAAAAATAAGCAATTTACCACGTTTGATGAATCAGATTTATTTCTTTTTTAAAGAACATTGTGTGTGTGTGTGTTTTTTTTTATTATAAAAAAAATAATATTGTTCTTTTATTTTTACTTTGTTTTATTTTGTTTTTGTTTTGTTTTGTATTGTTTTACTTTTAATACACGATATTAATTACAAGTTATAAGAAAATTAATTAAAAAGTGTTATATATATATATATTTAAAATGATCATCGTATTATCTAAAAGTGGATCAAAGGGACCACCATAAAAAGGGTTACTCGAAAGAAAATGATAAAGTAAATTATTTTCTACTTTGTGGTAACATGGAAAAGGGGTTAAGCCATCATTTTATTATTTCTGGATAATAAAGTGGGTACAGACAAACCGATAAAAAAAATTCGAAAGTTTAATTGAATTTATAAAACAAAAATAAAAAAAGAAAACTAAAAAACCGAGTGAACTAACCCCTATTTCATTCTACATATTCTCTCATCTCTTTTTTATTATTTACTTTATTTATTATAACACCTAGAAATCACTTATAATTAAAAAAAAAAAAGATTTTAAATAACAAATTTGATGTACTCACCAAACAGAAGCAGAAGAATCAGAAATTGAAGGGTGACGTTGTTTTATCACGCGGATCTTTTTCTTATTATTTATTTAAAAATCAGTAAACAAGATCACGAACAACGAGTTTCGAACTATGATGATCGCGTTTGAACGTTACTATGTAAAAGAATTAAAAAATCGATTAAAAGATAAAATCTATCTATGTTTATCTATGAAAATTAAGGAATATTATTATACTAACCGGTTAGATCAGAAATCGATGAAAATAATAATTATATACGATCCGTATAAGGGACACATGAAGCACAAAATGCGCACTAACAGATCGAGCTTCGGCTCTTTATACCCTCGAACTTGCACCACCTGTGCTTGCGCAGATCGGCCTTCTAAGCTTCGCGCACTTTGTTCGTACGTTCCTTCTTTCCTTCTTTCTTTCTTTCTGTCTTTCTTTACTTCAATCGTTCATTTTATCCCTTCTTTTATTTTTCGTGATACCTTGGCACGCATTCGAGATGAGCTGATGCTGATGCTGGTGCTGGTGTTGGTGCTGATGTTAATCGTCGTCATAGTCTTTTTCTTTCGATCATAACTGAGATAATAAAAAATCTATTCAAAATAATCTGTTTCTTTTATTTTATTTTTATTTTATTGGGTTGGCAAGTAAGTAATTGCCGATTTGTTCAATAAAATAAAAGATTTCTTTTTAATATTGAGGTAAAAAAAAATCTTTAAGAAAATATCTACGCAATGAATTTGTAAAGCTAGGTTAGGATGACATAAAAAAATTAAAAAAAAAATAAAAAAAAAATAAAAATGGGAGTGAGAGAGATCTATAACTGAAATCGGCAATTACTTAGTTGCCAGCCCAATATTTTATTTTATTCTATTTTATTTTTATTCTATTTAATTTACACGTACATTATTTGAACGTTAATCTAATAAACTTCCAACAACAATTTATATTTTTTGAACTTTTCCTTAAAAGTTCATTATTTTATTAACACTACTTTTACAAATGTTTCGTTCAATTATTTTTTAATGAATTTACAAAACATTGTTTGAAACAAAGGGTTGAGTAGAAGGGAGGAATTAATATTTCATCATATAACTAAAAACCAACATATGTTTTTAAAAAATAATATTTAAATTTTACATATATATAAATGAATCAAATTAACTCAATCTGTAACTAGTTCTTAACTTCTTTTAATTATTATTATTATTATTATTATTATTATTATTATTATTATTATTATTTATTGTTGTTGTTATTTTCGTTGTATGTTCTTCAAACTCCCTCACATCCCCCTTTTTCTATAAATTTTCTAAATAAAATCATAGAATTTATTTACTTTTTTATTTTTATACATAAAAGATTCAAAAATAAATTAAATTAACTTAATCTATAACTTGTTCTTAACTTCTCTTAATTATTATTATTATTATTATTATTATTATTATTATTATTATTATTATTATTATTATTATTTATTGTTGTTGTTATTTTTATTGTATGTTTTTCTAATTCCCCCACATCTCTAGGAATACATATATATATTATTTTTTATATAAAAGATTCAAAAGAGTTATTCTCATTATTCTAATTACTATTATTATTATTTTAATTATTAATTTTGTCATTACTTTTAAAAGACAAAATGTTCTTCTTAATTATTAGTTGTCTTTTGTATTATTATGATTATTTTTCTTTTTACAAAATATAATAATAAAACAAAATCTAATGAAAGTTGATAAAAAAAAGTTGAAGCCCGTTAAAGACATTGTTCGATTTGGGGGGTAGTATCCTTCAATATCGCAAAACCTATCATCGAACGTAAGCTTAAACGTGAAGTTAACTTTTCGAGTAAAAAAAAAATGTATCCAATAATTCCGTGGATTCTCTCTCTCTCTCTCTCTCTCTCTCTCTCTCTCTCTCTCTCTCTCATTCTCTTAACAAACGAATAAACTTTTAACTACTATGCTATAAGTGACTTAGTTGTAAAGCCTTTAATTTCGAGTAAATTTGATCAGAAATCTATTTATTGTATAGAAAGAGAAAGAGATAGAGATAGATAGATGGATTGAGATTATGATTCGAACTTTTATCGATGTCGCACGAATAACGTGACAAAGAAAAAAAAAAAAATAAAAAGGGAACGCATCATAATCATTGAATATCGTAATCCTAAAGTGACCCAATTTTCATCTAAATTTATAACAAATTGATCGTCCGAAATATCTATTAAAAGAATATCGATTCTGTGAATATGCGATAAACGTTAAATAAATAAATAATAATAATAAAAAAGAAGAAATAAAAAAAGTGGGTGCGCGTTGCTCTTATCTAAACGGCACAATAAAAAATTAAAATAAATACGAAAACAAAAAAAACGAATGATGCGTTAGATTTTATTGAAACTGGAATCAAAAATCTAAAGCAGCAACACATTTTTGTTTTTACCATTTGTATATTCACAGAGATATCTATGGCTGGGTGTGTATGTGAGATGTAGATGTAAATGTAGGTATATAAAGTATAGATGCTATTGTAAACGCACGCAAGAAATCTTGTACTTTTAACAATAAGATCTATATCAAGTTCTGACGAGCCTGAGCGAAGCAGTTCTGAAGCGTTTGGACAGATCAGCATCCAGCAAAGTGAAAGGTAAGAAGTTGACGGGATGTATCGAGACCCGTGAAAAGCCTATTTGGAACGGACTCTAAACCTTACTCGTACATCTTGTCACCCTTAACTCAATCATGACTCAGCATAATAAAAATACTAAAAAGATTCTTATTAAATATCATACATTTTTATCAATAAATTTAAATACTTTCCTTGAGATGTAGATTTAAATTTTAGGTTTCTTTTTTTATATAATCAAACAACTTTAAGAAATTGTCTTTAGTTGATGCTATTCACAATTTTTAATTGAATTGATAGTAGTAATAAAATTATATTAATTTATACATTTTTTTATTATTTATTTCTTTTTAAAACTCTTAGAAATAAAAAAAAAAAAATAATAATAATAATAATAATTGATTATATTATTTATATATAATATAATACTTTATTATAATTTATTATAATAATTAAATTTATTATTTTATTTGTATATTATTATATTATTATTTTATATTTACTTATATTATTATTATTTTTCGAACTATATGTCAACGATCAAAAATTGGTATAGTGTATTCATCAAAATTATGTTATGCAATTAGGAATATTTCATTACATTAAAAAAGTAATAATAATTATAAAAATTAATTACATTATTTATATTATAAAATAAATTTTTATTAATAGTTACTTTTTTATTTAGTCCACTATTATAACTATCTAACCATATAACAACGATTGAAAATGGGTATAATATATTCATCAAAATTATGTTATGCAATTAGAAATATTTTATTGCATTCAATAAATACAAAAAAGAAATATAAAATTATTGTAAATAATTAAAAAGGATAAAAAGAAAACTCAATAATATAAAAAAAAATAATATAAAAGTGGAATAAATAACATTTATTATACTTTTACAATAAGATATGCGTCTAATATACACATTATATTTATATACCTACAATTATAATTATAATTATTTTTATGTACTTATGTCTGCATATTTATATATATAAAAAATGTGAGAATAATATGATCAAATCAATTAGTTATAACACTAAAGTTGTCACAAGTCAGGTACCATTTTTTAAAATTTCTGTTTATAATATTTGGGCCTTATGTTCATCATCCGCTATTTGTGATGCAAGATTAGCAAACTTTGCCATATAATCTACACTGTTTTCGGCCATCAAACATTGCATATGTGATACAACCTAAAACGATACCCGATATGGGAATTAATTTTGTTTTTTATTTTTAATAAAAAATGCATAAGTTCTCATTTTATTTCATTTCAATAGTAATTACGTCTGAAGAGGGTCGTACGTCCTCGACGGTATGTCCTTCAACTTGACTTCTTTGAGAGGCTTTTAACGGTGATTCTAGTTGTCCTAGAAAGCTACTTAACGAAAAATCGGCGACCTGAAATCGTTCAATAAAATCATAACTCGCAATAATCAATTCTACGCGTGTCTCTAGTTGTATTACACACGCACGTGTACGTTAATTATCAATTTACTAAATTAATAATCAGTTCATGATTTATTTTATAAAATTAAAATAATTTATATTATATTAAATATTTAATTAAAATGTAATTATAAGTATTTATTAATATAATAAATTAAATAATAAATAAAGTAAATTAATTAAAATTTAATATAATATAAATTATTTTCATTTTATAAAATAAATCGTTCAATGAATTTTTTCAATTTGTTTCTTTTTATAATTTAATCCATTTTCAAAATTATCGACACATAAACGAAAAGGTAATAATTTTGATCACCTTCAATATTTCCGTATTTTTTTTTTTTTTTTTTTAGAGATATGAACAAACTTAAAATTTACAAAAGGTCATACGATACGGAAGAGGACTATAATGTGACAATATAATATTTTTTTTATGTAAACGCGTAAAAAAACATATGTACGCCAAATGTTTTTCCTTAAATAGTAATCGTATATTTTAATTGCATTGGTCAATGAATCTCAACATTCTTTATATAAAAAAAAAAATATTATTAACTCGCGTATATCGAAAAATTGTTAATGTACTAATATACATATATATTTGCAGAGTAAAAAAGGTTTTTAAACAGAAAGCCTCAGGACATGTAAATGTTATCGACATTTAAAATCAACTAAATGTAAATTTGATCCTCTAAAGTAACCCATCGAAATCTCATAATTTCTTACCCGAATTTCACTTGGCCACGAACGATCGAACTTGGTCGAATTTTTATGATTTTTATAAGAGATAAAATAAATTACAAGTATTGTAGATAAAAAGTAAGTAAAGTATATATATATTTCAAACCATTTGAAAGTATTTCGAGTATTATTCCATGAATACTGACCTCGCTATTCAACCATTCACCCTCTTTAAGTATTTGCGTAGCACTGGTTATAATAGAATTCGTTGGTTTCGGATTAGATTCTGGTTCGATGCTATCCATAGGTAAGAAATGTTTATTTCTTTGCTCATCTACCTCTGTTATTTTGTCATCCTGTATAACGCTGCCGTCCGCCGATTGATTGTTATTATTATTGTTATTATTACTATTATTACTATTATTATTACTTTGACTGGTCGTTGGTGTATCAGGCAAAATCACATTTTCCGATTGAACGTTGCCATTAAGTGTTATTGGTAATACCCTTTGAACTATAAGATTCTTTTGCCTGACTGTTCTGCCTCTCTTAGAGAAACG